ATATAAGGAATATTAATCTTAAAATATTTGTCGTTAAGTATAAGATATTATGATAGTTTTTGTTTTAAAATCATCTTTTAAAAATGTAATAGAATAAGGTACATTTGTAATGAGGAATGAAAAGTATGAAACATTTCAAAAATAGCATTATTGTTATCCATCAAAATAATAATACTTGGAGGATAAGACGAAATGTTTTGAATTCCGTAAACATCAAACGGAATTCAAATTAATTGTTAATTAATTAGTATCTGAAATAAAATCATGGAATTTGAGAGTTTTGGGATCTGACAGGGCTTCCATTAACTAATTTCTTCATCAAACGTTTCAAAGACTGTTTCTACAAAAATTTTAAAGAGTTATTACAGCCTTTATCTGGTTAACATTATCCCTTTGAGTCAAATAGCCTTTTAATTAAAGTGATGAAAAATATAAGCAGCTAATACGGAATACAATTTCAATAAAAGTAAGGTTTAAATATAGACAACAATATGAAAACAATATTTAGAGTGTATCAAAACTTTGAAGAAAGCAATAATTTGGTTTTTTATAATTATTATTTATGAAACAATTTTGAAATGTTTATTTGTATTAACCTTTATTGAATTAATTAATTGTATTTTGAGGAATCATTGTTTAAACTAATGTACATATTTAATAAAGGAAAAAGTAATTTGGGAACTAACGAAATCAAAATCCGAATAATACAGTAATAGAAAAGGATCATTTACAAAAAAAACGAATGTTGAATATCAGTTTGAGGTTCTCTCCGAACCTTACTCAGGTGTTCGGGCTTGGTCCAAAATTATATTTTGAAGTTACGTGTTTTCAATAATAACAATTCTTACTCATAGTTGTACTTAAACTTCTTAGTCTTTCATCTTCCTATTTATAAGTGATATTAAAAATACTACTCTTTTTGAAGTAGCAAAACTAGTAAATTATTATTAAAAAAACAGACAAAATGACGAAATCGTTAGGGGGTACTGGTGGTACAAAAGCCAAAAGGAAAGAGAAACACTTTTTTATATGATATTCGTCTGTAAGGAATTTTTTACAAGGAGAAAGTAAGACCGCTTTTCACCGATGTTTGAACCACGAGATTGCAAGAAAAACAATCATTCAAAGGATCAGTGAACAGATAAGTGTTGACGGAGCAGCGATTTTTAACACGGGTAGGGTTGCTTGTTGTCTGGATCCGAGTAATTCGCTTTAAAATACGGCTGTTTTAGGACTGATAACTTGAGGAGTATTAATGTTTTACTTGCTTGATTTATTAAGGACTTAGGAGCTAATCTATTACGATAAGGTAAAGGAATAATTTAACCTCAAGTATAAAATTATGTCACTATTAAATAAAAATGTATATTATATAATAATGTCTCACTTCTGGTTCTTGGAAAAATTATGATAAGAATATAAAGTTCCATAAATACAAATAGTAACTTTTTTATTAATAAATCCCTTGATATATAAATTGACATTTAATAGCCGTTTACACCAGATAAGATTAGACGGAAGATAAGTGACAATAATTATATGTCAATAAATATTTTAATAACATCAAATAAAGAAAAAACTATTTAATTATTAATTTTACATATAAAATTATAATAATACATTTAATAGTTAAGTAAACAGCTATAAAGACAGAGTCTAAATCAGAGTCATAAACAATTTTAAAAGAAATATTAAGATACCTTTAGGTTTTAAAATAACATAAAATTCGGAAGTTTTGTAAAAATATTTTCAACGTCAACACCAACCTACAAAATAAAAGTGAGTTAGGGCAGAAAAACAAACTTGAAAAAAACTCCACCAAATTTTCCTGAATATCAAATGAGCATTTTGAAACAACGGAGTCCTTTGTGACGGTGACTGAATTTATAAAAAAAAATCGTTAAAGCCTCTTAAAAACGAATCATAATTGAGCAGATTTAAGGAATTACCTTAACGCAATAAACCAAAAGTAAATGTTACAATCGTGAAGATCAATAAAATATGTTATGACTTACAAAAGAAATCTTTTCCGTTTCATTCTGTTGTAAAACTTTTATTTCCTGAAGTTAATTTCGTTGGTGCTTTTGTTTATGTAGCTTTTATTAAATAGGTCTCTTATTTCATATTATGTCTATCTGAATCAGTGAAATGAGAATAAAATCTTGTCAATAATTTCCTTTGAGTTTGTTAAAATCATAATACTCATTTCATTATTATGTTATAATACTGGGGATTATTAATTATTATTAGTATGTTGTGATTTTGCAAATGTAAGATGTCACAATTATTTTCCCGTTAAAATAAAACTAACATGCAGAGAATATGAATTCAAAAATATTAATTACGTTGAAATAACATAACTTTTAATTAATCTGTTTAATTTTGTATTCGATAAATTTTAAAAGGATACAATGAAATGATTCCCAAGTCCGCTCTGATCGCTATCAGAAGGCAATTCCTTTTGTTATCCACATACAGTTTTAGGAGGCTGTTATTCTCTATAGTGGCATTAAAATAACATTAATGTCAGAATTTTACGCGACAACACACGTTATAGCTCGATGTAATCATAATATTACTCTCGAAACAAGATATGTCGTTGCATAGTTAGAAATTTTTGTTAAAAATTTAATTACATTTCGGAACCGATTGGATTTAGGTCTGTACAATAATATATTTCTGGTATAGATTTATTTATTTATAAATATTGATTTAAAGCTATTAGATAAACGGGGCACGGAAAAGTAACAATAAACATTTAAATAAAAATATTACGATACAACTTTCATATACTAGGATTACAATTGATTGTTTTTATAAATTTCTTTAACTGATGAATCCTAAGAGTTTCGTGAAAATATGGGTTTTCAAATTATTGAAGGTTTTATTCTACTCAATAAATAATATAATAATTTTAAACGATAAAAATATAACTGTATTAGAGTACATTTTTCTAATATTCTTTAAACCAGTAGAAAAACAAACTGATAATGCATACGATAATATTCAAAATATATAAGTTAGCTAAAACAGTTTTACGGAATTGGAAAACACAATTTTGAAAACATAACAAGCCTTAGATAATATAACCAACTTATGAAAAACGCGTCCTCGCTAAAATTTTGGATCTCACTTATAATGTTTTAATACAAGGAATACTTAAGTTTAATAGTACCTGCAAAACTTGCTAGTCAGTGTAATTTAAAAAACAATACATCCACGTTAGGAGGAGCGCTGACCGTAAGCAATAATGTCCGGGCGAACCCTTCGGGTACGGAAACCGAAACACATTTATATAATGTCAAACGAATTTCCTTTGTAATATTTCTGATTATGGAAACTGTCATAGAATTCTTCAAGAAAATATACCCTTGATAAGTGCTCTGTTATTTTAATGGTACTGTTTGAGATAGCCATATTAAAACAATCATCGTTGTGTTAGACATATTACTAATTGTTTAATTTCTTATTCAATTCACTATAACAGTGTTTTTAAGAATAGAATCAGTAACACAGCGTCAGCTGCATAGCATACATAATTATTTTAATTACATGGACAGGTTAATTACAATTTTCGGTATATATACGAAAATATTAACCAAAATTTTAATTTCAATTAGAACACATAAAATAAAATACTCTTCTGCGCGAGTAGGACTCAAACTTGCAATCTCTCAAATATCACCTATTACTAAGTATGACAATATGACGATTAAAATGAATTATTGATCGATGCCAGTAAGGACGTGATAGTTTATTTGATCAAGCAACTGGAGACTTCTATTTCGAAAGTTTCAAGTTCACATCTGCTCGTGTCGATGAATTATTCTTTCTATAACTTCTTATTTAGATTTTTGTTTGAATATTTACCGGGCCTAGCTAAAGTTTACAAATATAATTGCACGGATTATATAAAGTACCGAGAAGTTCACCTAACCTCTCGGTAATAATTTCCTTGAATGAAATTAATTTTTAATCACATACCGTTAAAGTGAAGTTGTTGTTAAATTACTTCTAGAATCGGACGGACACGTGCAAAAAAAAACTGAAAATGAACATATTCAAGCAAACAGTTCCTCATCTACAATTTAGCATTGCTATAGTGCAACATCTTTGTTATAGTTCATTTAACGAAATGGTTTCCGTAACTACGTATTTCCGGGCGAGTTCTGAATTGGGTAAACAGTTGACCTAACTTCGATCTAGGTCCCAAGTCTAAATGCCTGCAAAGCTTTAGTTACCTGGTACTGTGTTTGAACGAAAATTTCCGTTCCATAGTTACTCTGTAAATTTGGTTCCATTTTTATTTTGCTTTTTATTTTTATTGTAATCCAAAATATGCTTAAATCTTTAAAAAAAAACAAATTCATCTAAAAACAACTAAAGTTTGGAAAAATACGAATAAATGCAAATATTTGTATTTCTCATCTGCATTGCGAGGATTTCGTGTTTAAAACCAGATAAAGGGTTGGCTGTTTGAATACAGTTCTTCTGTAAATAAGTTGTTTGAAAACAAAAAACTAGTAAGAATTTTGAATAGACTTAATTTTGATATAAAAAAGTTGTTGTCATGGTCATATAACGATTTGTATTAACCATGACAACAATTATATTTAAACGATAGTTTTATAATCTTAATTTTAAAATTCGGTGTTGTAACAAAAATTATAACATTTCTAGAATGTTATAATTTTATAACATTCCTAAAAGTAACTACTAAATTAACTACGTCAATTTTTTTTATTAAATTTCATGTATTCATTGTATGGGTGCCAAGCAATGTGATATAAATGGAATATTAATATAGTCTTAAACTTGGATTGAATTGGCTTAGAGGTTTGATTAATTTCAAGGCTGGTATAAGCACTAGGGTGTGTTTTTAAATTAAAGTTAGGAATTATAGAAAAGATCAAAAAAACTGATAAATGGTCTTCAACATGAATGTATCAGACTTTCGTTTCTAAGTAATAAGGTATTTTAGTTGGTAATGGTTCAAATACCTCTTGCGGTGTGTATCTGAAGATTTCATGGCTCCCTTTATACCATTTCACTGAATGCAACGCGGGGTCCATAGGCTGCTTGGTGTAGTGACAGCGAAGCTGCGCTTCTATTCTCGGATCAGCCCAGCGAGGAACGTCCAACTTCGTTATTGTATGGCATAGAGTATGAGCTAGAAATAAAACAGAGCTGGATTTTTTCTTTTACACGATAAGTTGAAATTATGATAAATAAAAGTATTTTGTTTTGTTAAGCAGTAAACACAGCACAAAGAAGAAGTTTTATTTAATAAAATAGGACTTTACATTGCGACGTAGGTTTGTATTTTTATTTTTAGATTTTATATAATAAATTATCACAAGCCATTTAATGTTTATGAATTATATGTTTATTTCGGTATTCCGTTGTGTCGTTTTCAGAAAATTCTCTAGAATTTAAGTTCTAAATTTTAGATACAGCGAGGTAAGAGGAACGTTTCTTAGTTTGGCAGTTTCGTTAAAGTTTCAACATCCAAGTGATGAACAAGTTTCCTCTAATAAACAAGTTCTAACTTCTCGACACACTTCTATTTTTCTCTTTCTATTCTTAGTTTTGAGAATCTATCTTCACTATAATATGTATTTTCTTATAAGCTGAAACACGTAGTCATTCAGTTATGAGCCATTTAATGGTATTAAAATCTAAGTACTGTAAGATAGAAAAAAAAATATATAGAATATTAATTCCATTGACCTTTAATTAAAGGTCATATAGACATTAACATTTTGGATGAATTGAAATGTTTATCACAATTAGGAATTACATTTCTAAAAACGGATCACAGCAGTTTCGTTTGTTATATGTGCAAACAAAAACCTTCATGAAAATAATAGTAATAGTAACTCCTACAGTTCTATTGGTTTTATAAAAGTGTAACAACGTAACTGTAGCCAATTAACTAAAGCACGTACATGGGTTAACTCGCTCTCGAACTATCAGTCTTTTGTAAGAAAATCAGCGAGAAAAGTTTTTAGATTCGTTTTATAAACTTAAATACTGGATATTTAGAAATTAAAGTTAGAGGAGTTGGATCCCTATTGAGGAATAATGATATAATAAGAATATAAACGGAGTTTTAGAGGCAAATGTTTTTAACTATAAACGGCTAATTATTAAAAAAGATTTGTAAGGAGATATATAAAAGACAAATTTCATAGAATTAAATTAAATATAAATCTTGACCAAACAAAAAAAGGAAACCGATCAATACAATAACAAACACTATAAAGATATAATGCTGTCACCCCATACGTCCCGACGATACAATAAATTACAATGGGAAAGCTGGCTATCAATAACGGATGCCATTTTTATGACACCGATCCTCAATATATCGTGATGTTATGTTTGCCTATAAAAATGTTAACTTGAATTTTTACTTGTGAGCTCGAAACTACTTTCCTAATCCTATATTTCCTTTCCTATAAAAGCTTGACACACATTTGTCTATTACTTGCTTATACCGCTTTAAGTTTATATCCATACATACATACATATAGGGTTTTTTATACATTAATTTGATTTAACCAATCTACACTTATATCTGAAGCTAGTAAACTAAGTAAAAACTCGACGAAAGTAAGGTCTTTAATTCCGTTCTACATTTACCGATTTGAAAAACATTAAATAAAATTAATAGTTTCTTTAAGTAAAATGTCCTCAACGAATATATGTACCTCAATTTGAAATTTTATTATTCAATGTTATATATTAAAATTCAATTATTTTCAAAGGAGCTTTTTAGATGACAAGTCCTCCTATTGTTATTATAACATATTATTCTTTGAGTAAAAATATGTTGGGTCTTTCGTCGTCAGAATGAAATTCCCAGAAAAAATCATATTACATGAAAATGGAGATTTTATTGAAATTGTTCCTAATAAGAATGAAAATAAGTAATGTGGTTGAAGTCTTTTTAAAAATATACATTTAAATAATATGCTAGTCAGCCCTAGGCTAAGGAATATATTTTAAAATCACATTTTCCCTAGAGCATAGAAGTAACTAGAAAAGTAATGAAGTAGCATTTTTTTTAATTTAAAAAAGAAAAATCCGTTTTCTTTTTTTTTCATTACAAAAAAACTGAAAATCCCGACTTTATTTAAAAAATAGTAATAAGGACAGTTTCGAATGAAACACGAGAGCACTAAGCAAATTATAACAATTAGTATAAAAATAAGAGAAATAAAACAAAGAAACAAGCCGAATAAAAGATGAAAATAAGTAATTTAATTTTACATACCTAAAATTTAAAATTTTGAAATAATCTACAAAGACATATTTATCCTATTCTGAAGTTAATCACACAACATTCGGTTTTTATTTGTCTTAGAAAATAACTAGAAAAAAACAAAACAAAAGTTAATTTCATATCGTAGTCACTACATATAATGATTCAAATAATTAAATTATTTTTCATAAAATAAAAACTTTCTTAACAGAAGTGCAATCATCAAGTTATTTAAATCGAGAATTTACAATTTAAAATTCCTAAAAATTTCAATTCTGAAAGTAGGTTATCAAATATTAAATTACATATTAAAAGTAAATAAAAAAAATACTAAGCTATGGATACCCAACACATTATATTCAGGAGTTTTATCCCCCGAAGAATAATTAATTTGCTCAAGTGTTTCAACCAAGGAATTATAAGACTCTATGTTTCGTAGTCGCCAAAATCATCAACGCGTCCCTACACCTCCTACCAATATACAATTTTATTAATTGTAGGAGAAAAATCTCTTCTCTTATTATCCTCTACTGTTGGAAAATGTTCCTTTAAATGAATATATAGCAAGCTAAGAATACGTTAACGATAAGCTTTGCTGTAATTCTTTAGGTACACAAACGACATTTTAATTTTAGTATCCGTAAACAACTGTGAAAATATAAAAAATATTTTATTCTTTTCATTAATTGAAATGCAAGAATAATATAAATATAAAAATAAATATTACTGCATCTTTGATAACGAAAAAAGCATTATACGTATTGTGAAACTTTTGTTATTGAACTAGTGAATAAATTTTGATTGAACTCTGTACTTTAAGCTGTTATTTTATTTTTACATGTAGCTATGGAATCTCAAATTATGCAGATGAATCCATGCGGTGTACATAACACTTGAAATTATAATAATTAAATGATTCATTCTCTTAACACAAGGTATTATTTTGAAGGTTATAAATATGCAGCTTAAAGCATGTATATATTTTTTATATATATATAGTATATATTTTCCTTTATACTCCATAAATTTAATATCCGTAACAAGTTTTCCAATGAACGATATGAAAAGTTAGTTTTCAAGAACACTGCTCTCAACTATTGTTTAATAATTTGTAAGTAGTAACCAAATGTAAGTATTATATTATCTCAAGAACATAACACAAACCGACATTGTACATATATAAATAATGTTTTCCAGACACATTGCAAACGAACGTTTGTGTACCTATAATAAGAATGAGAAAAAATTTAATTTGTTTTTTTTGATAATCTATAAGAATGAGCTTCTGATTAATCAAGACTATTTTCAGGGCAATAATATTATAAATGAATATTTGTAAGTTTAGACTGAACATAATACAATCTAGCCGTGCCACATGGCGTCGTTACATTTATTGTTTATTGTTATACGGAGGGAGGAAATTGACTTCACTAAACGATATATAGTTTGTTGGTACCACGTCGAGAACAATATATTATTTTAATGAATTCTTTAAGCATATTAACAAAATATTATTTGTTCTAACTACAAACATGAGCTTCTGAATCGTTATATATTTAAGATGTATTGTTTTTATTATTTCTATTTTATATGTATAAACTTCACTCCTACTTTTATTATTATTATCTTAGATTATTATCCGTGGACAGCTCTTCGGATATTTATTTAATAATCATCTCACATTTACCTCAAGTTATTATTGAAGCTGAAGACAAAATCAAGTTCAAGAGGAATCTTTACTTAAAAGAGCATTTTTCCAGTTCTTTTGAACAACGTCAAGCTGGAATAAGTTTCTTATATATTAAAAAACGCAGACATTAAACCTCTTCCGAGGAAATTTTAAAGAAGAACTTAAGATCGGAATATTGAGACGGATCTTTCTTATGAATAAAATTTGAGCTTATATTTTCATTTATAGAAATAATACCAAGAAACTTAAATCAATGATCTAAATATGATTATTTTTTCAAATGGTCTTGAAATAGTTTTTGATTCACTACATACTAAACACGAATTAAATAGTAATTGACTTGAAACGTACTCATAAACTTTTAATAATATACAGTATTTGAAATCCCAACTAAAGTATCAAAATATAAGAGGGAATGTTTTAAATGACCTAAGAGTCTATGCGTTATGGCTAAATATTTAAAAATGAACTTGTATATGCGTCATAATTACCACGGGTTCTGTACACTGTATATAAAGTAACTTCACTTCTGTTATTTTAAATGTATGCTGTATTATATAACACTAATTAAGTCAGGTCTATAAATTGCCAGCTAGTACTGACTGGTAGACACATAATTTAGAAAAATATACTGGTGCAGTTGATATAATATCATATGAAATTATATTATTCTGCCGGCTGGCTAGTTATAACTGGAAAACTACATTATATTATTAAAAAAATATTATTTGAATCCTCATTAAACTCTTAACGTGTTTCTCTTTTTCAAAAATTAATAGACAGAAGACTCATACTGTGATATCTCCCGTTATAGCATATTAAATGAACATGATGTTAACTGTAGCAGTATATATGTCAAAAAAATATTTCTTTTTGTATGAATATTTGAACAGTTAGTTACCAATATCAAAAAAAATGTTTTCAAAAAGATTGCAAATACACTTTTATAATTGAAATTGAAAACCATTTTCGCCATATCAAAAAACACTGCATAAAGCAGTGTTACTAAAAAAAGGAATATTTGCTAATAAAATGTAAATATCATTTGGTGAATTTATTTTTAATTCTTATATTAACATACTATATATTACAAAACTTCATCAGCCAGCACACGATTCGCAGATGTTTCTTCTTATCTATGTACATTTTAAACATCATAAACTACACGACATTTCTGCAATCGT